CACGTGATGCTTTTTTCGTGTGTGAAATGTTTATAATTCAGAATGCTTAAAAAATTCTAGCTGAGATAGTAAGGAGCAGAACTATAATGTCGAAGTATTGTCTCTGCGGGGAGTTTTCTCAAAAAACAAAAGTGCAAATTACACATGAGAGAGATAGGGATGGCATGCGTTAGAGAAAAAACTGCTCTAAAATGTTTTTGAAACAAAAAAAATCGGTTAACTAGTTATTTTCAAAAAGCTCAACAACACTTTCACAAAGGGAACAAACTTTATCAGCCAAAACCAACTTAATCCATTGGTTTTGACGAAAAGAACAAAACAAAATTTAAAAAACTGCATAAATTTCGCAAGGAATTCAAGCGACTTCAATATTTCACTTAAAAGATAAGCTGATTGAGATCAGTACCTGGGCCACGAAAGAATCACTTAAGCTTCTTTGAAGGAAAAAGATATTGTCAAACAATGAAGTGAATAATGCTGTGAAACGTCATATCACTAACGCAGGGGTAATACGATACTGGCCTACTGCCAGTTTCTATCAGCTGACCAGTTTTTTTCCCCGCAGCAGATTTGTCCCTACATTTGTCATCAAAACAGAGATAAAGCGGATTTGCTCTGCGTGTTGAAAAAACATGAAATTTTAGGGACTGACCCAAGCCAACCCTGTCCAGGAAGACCGTTATCGGACGAAACAAAGCAATAAAGAAGTGAATTACGTCGACATCTCACATGACGAACTGAGCCCACACGTGCCCGGAGGAGTCAGCAGATTTCGGTGGTAGTGCTGGTTGGCGTGATGCCAAGTTCAGTTCCCCATCCAGAATAAGACATCCAACATGTGATCCCGCCGGTCTTGCTGGTCGTGCTAACTTCGTCCTGTGCTGGTGGTGTAAACAGGATACTCAACCGCATACAAGCGAAGTCGTTAGCTACGATGGTGAGAGAGGAGCATGACACGAGTTTTGGATTAGGCAATAACTCTAACTTTCAGTCTGCATTACGATGAACATGATTTCTGATGTAGAAGGGGACAAAATAGGAAACTCGTTTAGGAGAGAGGAAAACGAGGTTTACGGCGGAACTGACAGACTGACGCCAAGTGTATTTCAGGCTAATAAAACGCGCCTAATTGCACGGCCATAAATCGCTCTTTATAAGGTCTCAACAACTGCTTTTAACTGAATTTTACAATCGTGGTGGCGAAACGCTGGGGTTGCGAATGATCAGAAACAGGAGGCTCAAAATATTCTCGAGTTTTGGAAGAGAAGAAGCCACGCATCGAGATAAGGAGAGAAAAGGTGGAATTAAGGACGTATAGAAAAAACTACCACTAGCTCTAAAAAAATTGGAAAGCAATTTTTGGCACAACATGCTTTCCGAGCAAAGCCATGATCTTGATTATTCAAACTTTTCTTGCAACCTCCGACTAATTAAGCCATTTGGAAAATTCATATCTGCTATTTCTTGTTTCTTCTATGTAATTTTCTGCCCCAAGTGACATCAATTTTCAGCAGATCCCTTTAAAGAACAAGTCCTGAAATCGGAGTCACTTCGCTTTACTTCTCATATGTTACTAATTTTGAAAATCTAAAAACAGTTGGATAAATATTTATAGAAGATAAACAGTTAGGCGAAACATCTGATCCTAGCAACAAATCTAGTGACGCAAGCATAGAAAGAACCAGATGATATTTCGCACATTCTCATGGGAAAATTTGCCGAATGCCGAAACGATTAGTAAAACCATCCCAATAAAAACCAAAACAATTTGGTTTGAAGATATAGATTGAACCCTTTCCAATTCAAGAGAGATTTAGAAGAGATGAAATGCAGGAAATGCTTGCTTAGTATGATAAGTTGACGAGTTATTACATACATAAAGAAGTTTTCACGAAATGAATGCTTAAATCAAAGCAAAATACATAGAGAGGAATACAAAAGG